TTTTTGATTTAGGGTTTAGGGTTTAAGGCTTAGGGTTTAGGGTTTCGGTTTAGGGTTCTGGTGTAGGGCCTACCTTAAGCTAGCATCACCTCATTTTTTCTCGGCCCCTTCTCTTCAGGGTTTAGGGTTTAGGCTGACCATAAGGTCAGGCTGGCAACTGTTAGCTGCTTTTCAAGCCAGTGCATATCATGCGCAGGGGGCTCCTTATGGTCAGGATTCCAGAAGCGACTGTCATAGGGCCTGGGTTTTGCAAGCCCATCTCTAAATATAGGGGCCGGAATGGTGCAGTAAGGAATCCTATAAGTGTAGCAAGGGACCCCAAAGATACTTTTCGAACTCTCAAGGTGCCGATATTGGACATTTCCAACATACGGGGGCTATCTTGGGCGCCCTTCTCTCATGAAAGCTCCACTCCTCGTTGATTTCTCCGATGTTGGTTCAACAAGACTCAGCTGCTGGGCTCGGTTGAACTAGTGCTTCAAGTTGAGGGCCTAAGAACCTAGGGATTCGTTTTCCGGAGGTTTCCTGAATGACTCTGTGGGCGTCAGGTTCAACTTCGAACCTGCAGAACTTAAGGATTCAGGCTTCAAGGTTTAGGGTTGAGGGTTTAGGGTTTAGGGGTTTAGGGGTTTAGGGGTTTAGGGTTCAGGGTTTAGGGGTTTAGGGTTTAGGGTTTAGGAGTTGAGGCAGCGTTCAACGCTTGGGATGTCAGGTTTGGAGGATCCAGGCTCTACCCATAGGCTCCATTGTAGTTCTTTTGTTGTGGCTCATATTTAGGATCCTAGAATGAAACCCCAAAAAGGAACTACAATGGAGCCTATGGGTACAGATTCAAGGCTCATGGATATTTGTGCGCGAAGTCCGGTGTTCGGGTGCAAGTTGTGAGACTTCGACTATTGGGCGGGGGTTTCGGGTTTCGGCTTTAGGGCTCAGGGCAGTTTAAGGCTCAGACGGTGAGTTTAGGGACGGCCCAGGTCTCAGGGTCGCAAGTCAAAGCTAGCAGGTAAGGTGTGACCTTTTTGCGTAGTTACTGGGTAGACCGCTGATTCATCACAGCTCGACTCCCCAACCGCCAACCGCTACACTCTCAAGCCTCAGCTGGACCCTCTACAAGCTGAGGGAGATGGGTTTAGGCTTCCGGGGTTTAAGGGGAGTAGGGGTTTAGGGTTCAGGGTTTTAGAGTTTAGGGTCTAGGGTTTAGGTTTTGGGGTTTAGGGTTTAAGGTCTAGGGTTTAGGTTTTGGGGTTTAGGGTTTAGGGTCTAGGGGGTTAGGGTGTGGGAGCCGGTGGTCTGACCGACCCAGATCTGACGAAGAGTCCACATCATCCTAGCAACATCAGGGCCCCCCTTACCAGGAAGATTTTTCAAGGTGTTAAGAAATCGGGCTTCGATTAAGGGTTCGCCCTAAACCCTAAACCCTAAACCGTTCTGAATTCTGAGTCGAATGCCCCTTCGGATCTAACCCCCCCCCCCCAAATCTAAACTTAGGAACCCTAATGAAAGGGCATTAATCATTAGACTAACGTTTTGGGGCACATGGTAGTGGAACCATAGTCGGTTACATGGAAGACTAGCAACATCATTACTAATCACACAGGCTTCTATAGTACAGCAAAAAAAGAAGGAAGCTCAAGGAGATATAGTTAACAGTTGTTCAGGCTTCGATTTAAATACCCTAAACCCTAAACCCTAAGCAATTTAGATAAGCTCCAGATCCCAAGCCGGCTCGGAGGACAGGGTGGAGGCAACAGACTCGTTGCCGAAGCGGCTGGAGGCCGCGGTCACCGTCTTAGCAAAGCTTTCGGGTTTAGGGTTTTGGTGTTCCTTCCGTTCCTTTACGCCCTCCCTTTAAGGGACATCATAGGGTTCTATAATAAGCGTCCCTTTAAGTACATAATAGGGTTCCCTTTAAGGGCTCTGGTAGCATTATGGGGTCTAGGGATTCGGGTTTCGGGTTTGCGGGGATCGGGTCTGGGATTTCGGGAATAGGGCTTCCAGGGTTTAGGACTTGTACCTAAGTAACAGACACACCCTATTTGGAGAATCATGGGGCTTAGTTAGTAACTATGGCAATAATTACCTTAATTGGGGTTATACATGCTTATAAGTATAGTTACCCAAACTACTAATAGCCCTATAGATCTTGTAAGTAAACCATAAACCCTCGAGGTTGCAGTGCAGTGCGCTCGTCATACACTCTTTAAGCACCCCTGGAAACCTTTAGGAACCACTCACGGAACCCTCAAAAAAAACCTACCAGGAGACCCCTGAACCCTCAGCACTAAACTCCCTAAGCTCTTAGCCCTAAACCCTAAACCCAACAACCCCTATAAACCCTAGACCTTATAAACCCTCAAACCATAAACCCCAAAATCCAAAACCTAAACCCTTTAAAAGCCCGAAACTACTCCGGGACCGGCGCCCGCTGTGATGCGCGCGAGGCCAGGGATGCGACCGAAGCCCTGGATCTCGCCGAGGCCGCCGCGGCGCTGGGCCTTGAGGGCGTACCCCAAACGTTCGTTTAGGGTTTAGGGGTTTATGGTTTAGGGTTTAGGGTTTAGGACTTAGGGTTTAATTAGGGTTCAGGGGTTTAGGGTTTAGGGTTTAGGATTTAGGGTTTAATTAGGGTTTAGGGGTTTAGGGTTTAGGATTTAGGGTTTAATTAGGGCTTAGGGGTTTGGGGGTTTAGGGTTTAGGGCTTACGGTCGTGTAGGGTTTAGGGTTTCATTAGGATGGGTTCTGTATAGTAGAAGGGTGTACCCCAAACGGTCGTTTAGGGTTTGGGGTTTAGGGGTTTTGGGTTTAATTAGGGTTTAGGGTTTAATCAGGGTTTAGGGTTTAGGGTTTAATTAGGGTTTAGGGTTTAGGGTTTCATTAGGGTTTCGGGGACATAGTAGAATTAGGAATTACCATCATGGTTTGGGCAAGTATCTCCCAGGAAGGTGCTTAGGGCCCTGTGGGTTGCTTGGAGGCATCATGAGACTTAGAAAGGTATGGCAAAAAAGTACCTCAATTGGGGTTTCTTGCAAACCCTAACTGGCGCTGAAGCGTTAAGCCCCTGGAAACCTCACGCAACCCCTAACCACATGTAGTTACAATAGACCCTAAAGCTCTTCAGTTTAGGGCTTTAAGGGTTTAGGGTTTCGGGGTTTAGGGTTTTTGTCCAACCAGATCACCAAAAAGCAAGCACTGGAAACTGTAATCCCTACAAAACGCAATGTAAATGCGCTTGCAAAACAACCCTTGTAATCCCATGTGCTTTTGAGATAAAGCGCCCCTATAACCCCAACTTTGTTAACTCCGGGGTCACCCCCTGCCTGAAGGAATAACAGCACACCCCCAAATTAGCATCAAAACGTCCGAAAGCATAAGCGAGCCTTACATGACCTACAGTCTTAAACACCTGGTGTAAAACAACACAACTCTCTCTAACTTAACAAGACCATTACAAAGCCCCCTCCTAAACCTAAACCCCTCAACCCTAAACCCCTCAACCCTCAACCCTAAACCCCTCAACCCCTCAACCCTAAACCCCTCAACCCTCAACCCTAAACCCCTCAACCCTAAACCCCCCCCCCGCCCCCCCCTCTCGCTCTGCTTGGTGCCTCGATCGAACGGGGGACAAGCTCCCTGGCCGCTCGCGGCATGCTCTCGCCTTGAAATGCTGTCTCTGAAGGCTCCCCCAAAATGGGAGTTTTCAAAAACAGGACACCCTAATCTAGTACCCTAAATAGTAGGATCCTTATTATAAGGACCCCCAAAATAAGGTACCCCTCATATTCGGAAACTGCCATAAAGGTTTAGGGTTTAGGGTTTCGGGTTTAGGGGTCCTGCGTGACCTTTCAAGGGATCCTTTATGGGCTCTTTTGGGGGATCTTTTGAAGGGTTCTTATAGCGGGTCTATAAGGGTTACTACAAGGGCTACTATATGGGGGAGACTTGCCCAAGCCATAAGAGTAGTTCCTATTTTTGAAACCCTACAGTCTCCGATATCGGTACCTAGGACCGTTTGGGTTCTTGTGTTTGTGCAGGGAGAGGAGGTTTGGTTTAGGGTTTTGGGGATTCGGGGTTTGGGGATTAATTAAACCAGGCCTTAGGGTCTCTGAAGGTTTTGTGACGGGGGAGAGGAGGCTTGGTTTAGGGAGGGTTTTGGGGTGGTTCTTGGATTTTGGGATTAGTTGGGGTTTGGGGCTTCAGGGGTTTAGGCTTATGGTTCAGGTGTTTTTAGATGCGAGGGTTTTAAGGGTTTAGTGGGTTTGTAGGGTCCCTTGCATACATTTTTGTTACAGTGTAGGATCATTTCTGGCTTTATGAAGAATTCCGAGTCCTTCTGTTATGCGTTCTATTGGTATAGTCGGAACCATAGAGGAACCGTGACTATATCACTGTTCAGACCCCTGTAATTAGAACACAGCTACACTCTACACTACGACGCCCCAGTCTGCTTTCAAGCATGCTCCTTAGGTGCTTGGGTTTCTCTGGTATTTTTGAAAGCTTTCTCTTGGGGCTTGGGTGCTATGGAACTTGGGGTTCGAAGGCTGTTCAAAAAAACTTTACGAAGGTGTTTGATGAAGGGGCCTTTATACTTAGCGTGAATAGGGTTTTGGGGGTTCGCTATTATGATTATCGTATAATATACCCCCAACCCTTGTTGAAATTATTATTAAGGCGCCCATATTAGGGCTTTCAAGGTGTATGAGGGTGTTGGGGGCTTTGGAGTTCAGAACCAGCAGGGATGCTACAGATGGAGATGGCTCTAGGGTCTTTTTGGGTTCAAAGCCTGGGGTCTACGATTTGGGGATTTGCAGCTTCAAGGGGCTTTGGAGATCTGTAAGGTTCATTCGGGTTTTAAAAATGAAAAAGCTAAGGGTCCGTTAGGTCTTTTTTGGGTTTGGCGACCTAGGATTCCTGCAGGCTTTGAACACATGTCGGATGCTTGGCGCTGGGACTCGCTTCAATAGGCTGATGATGCTCCACCATTCTGGTTTCTTCTTCAAACAGGTTCATTGAGATTACGTCAAATAACAATATTCCTATCAGCACATGTGCATGTGCACGTATGATCGCTGAATAAGCAAGTGAAAACAGCACGATTTGTGTACAAGTACATACACCCGCATTGCTGTATTACATTTATTGCGCTTCTATTCCTGTAATTCGCTGGCTATATCCGTATATCTTGAGCTGCGAGCCTTTGGCGACTCTGGCCGCAGTGGCGGGCTCCGTGCCGCACGTGAGAACGCCATGGCTGTCCCAGTTTATATGGATTTATGGGGTTGTGGTAGGGGTTAAAGGGTGTTTGTACAGATGTGAAAGGCTTTTAATGTGCTTGTGAGAGGCTTAACGAGGTCCGAAGCGGATGGGTTCGGTATGTATGAATTTGGTCGTATAGGGATTGGAATTTAGGGTCGAAGTTGAAAACTTTCCGTCTCTTGAGGCAACTTACCTTACGTCATATGCCGGACTCCCTCCTCATTTTACCGAATGGGCTGGGCTTTCTGGGTGAGGGAGATGCAAAGGCTCGGGCTTTGGGTTTAGAATTAGGGTTAGGGCTCTGTCCACCAATGGTATGTTGGAATCTCTGGCGAACCAGCAGATTCCCAGTACATGGGCAAATCAACACTGATAGCAGCCTGTCAACATTAGATGATCGTGTTTCTTTGGGATTCATGCTTAATTAGTCTGGATGTTACTGTGCTGAGTACTTTGACTCTTCAGTTGGGTAGAACTGTGGCTTCAAGGGCTTCGAATACGCATCTGATACCGCAAATCCCAAAGCCTCATCATGCTGCTTTGCGTAATCTTGCTTCTTGGTCAACGGTCAACGCGCTGGGCCATAGGCTGAGCGCGCGGTGATAAATGAGGGGTCGAAAAGTACTTGTCTGGCAGGACGTATTCCGAGTTCATAAGATATTCGCAAACACAGGACCTTCCAAAGGCCACTTCTTGACACTGGTGCCCATGCTTTGCCGCGTCTCTCCTCATCCACTGATTGTAGGTGTACAGGTATGATAAACGACGCAAACGAATGCAGGCAGACATATGTATCAGTACAAATGCATACTACTACTACTACTACTACTACTACTACTACTACTCCTACTCCTACTCCTACTGCTACTCCTACTGCCACTGCCACTGCCACTGCCACTGCTACTGCTACTGCTACTGCGTGCTACTGCTACTGCTACTGCGTGCTACTGCTACTGCTACTCCTGCTCCTGCTCCTGCTGCTGCTGCTGCTGCTGCTGCTGCTGCTGCTGCTGCTGCTGCTGCTGCTGCTGCTGCTATTACTCCTGTTGCTACTGCTGCTGCTGCTGCTGCTGCTATTACTCCTGTTGCTACTGCTGCTGCTGCTATTACTCCTGCTGCTACTGCTGCCACTGCTACTACTACTGATTATGATTACTACTACTACTACTACTACTACTACTACTGCTATGATGACTACGACCACGAATAATGATTCATAAAAATAATAATAGTGCTACAGGACTTCGGCTATTGCGACTGCGACTGAGACTACGGCGACGGCGACGACGACATCGAGCACAATTATATCGACGATGACGAGGTCGATGATACGGCCACGGCGACGGCGACGAGGACGATGGCCTCGGCCAAGACGACGACTCCTGCGCCTGCAGCACAGCATCATATGCTGGACACCAGCACAGCCACTAATCACCTTCTACTACGCCGCACGCATAAACGCCAGCAGCACCAGCACCAGTAGCCGCAGCCAGCTGTCAACACGCTGCCGCCACTAGCAGCACCACGGACAACGAGTCAAATCTTTGCTGTCTGCTGCCTGCTTCCTCTCGCTCATTTCACTCTCACTCTCACTCTTGCTGTCGATTCAGATCATAGTTACTCTTTCTAGCCACAGCAAATGCTTGTGACACTTTTTTACGTCCCGATCAGGCTGGCTCAGCACCGATTGCAACATGGAGGTGCGGAAGGAAGCTTCTGGTGCACATGCCGAAGCATTATGCCGTCGTTCTTCAAACCCCAGCCTACGAAGCAAAGCCTTCGACCGCCGAACCGACACAAACTTAAACCCTGAGCCGTAGAACCCTGAACCGCAACTCCCTACAACTAGGCCGAAACCCCAAATCGCTGCAAGAAGCTATACGTGAATGCCCAAACACTGTCGAGGCCCCGCAACCTTTCCCCCCAACAATGGGTGGAGCCTATGGAGAGTGGAATGCAGCCCGATCTGGCCAGCCACGGACAGCTTCAAACCCACAAAAAACACCTTGATTTTCGGAATTGCCCCAAACCCAACACCCAAACTCCTCCCCCCAAGATGGGATACTTCAAAAGGTCCGGGGCCCGCCTCTCGTCGAAGGCAACAGAAGCAGTTGGGGGGTGCCAGATGCCCCTAACCCAGTCACCCGGAGAGGGTTCCAGAGGCCGTGCCCAGTCTTAAAAAGGCTCCTTATACCGCTTACCGACATGGTGTGGGAATTGAAGGTGTAAGCCCTGAACCCCAACAGGACATGGTGCGGATGGTTGCCTGCGAATCACAGCGGGCGGGCAAAAAGAACTTCCACTTTCACCGAGTTCTGTGACAGCGCACAAGGAAGGTCGCTCGCCATCTTAGCATGGATTAGCGGCCGCTGTTGAACCCGAAACCTGAAACCCTACATCTTGATTGAAGCCATAAAGGGTGGCGGCTCTTTGGTCGAGGACGCTCTCAGACCGAAGAACCGAGTGGCGGACGGACCTGGGTTTCTATTGAAGCTCATTTTCGGGGTCTTTTGAGGCTGCTATGAGGGTTCTTTCATGGTCTATATGGTTTCATTAGGGCCTATAAGGTTTCCAAGGGGAGCGCCGCACTGGAGCGTTCGAGATGTAGTCAGGATAGAGTTTTAAGCTGCGGGGCTTAGGATTCGAAGGACTTGAACTTTAAGGTTTAGGCTTTAGGGCTGACTCAAACTTTTAGGGCCAAGTTTAGGGTTGAAGGTCTTAAAAGCTATACACGGAACCCCGAAAGCTGAAAGTCTTGACATCCACCCCGCGAAATCCCTAAACCGTCAACCCCAACAGTCAGAAAGCAGCACAGCGAACTCAACAGTTGCACCCTATATAAGCCCTGTAAATATGGGTAAACGATGGGGCGATAACGTACGACAATTGGCAAAAGGCATGCCAACCCCACGGGCACACCAGTTTCTAAGAAGGAACGCCAGTTGACAAAATGTTCGACAATGAATGCTAAACACTGGCTACACACCACCGGTACACGAGCCAAACACAATATGTCCGGAAAGTGCTGATTTGCGTGTGCCGTGATGTGCCCGTGGTTTTTGCCGATTGCAGAACGACGCCGTGTGCATCCGCTCAGGACGGCACATAGCCAGCCACTCCCCCTGTAGACACTCGCTTTGCCAAGCGCCCGCTCATCGGAAGAACAGTGACAGCATATCACAGCCAGTCATTCCCGATGTAGACGCTCGAGTTCGCACATCAGCGGCCACGGCTTCAGACCTGGAAAACACGCAATGCTACTAACCCCAAGGCATCGAGCCGAAAGTTCACTGCCCCTAGGGTTCAAAGCTCTTGAGCACGAAAGTCTATACCCCCCCCATGGCTTCAAACCGGGTCGGCTCCAAGCCTGGAAAGAAAGAAAGTTACCAACCACCACATTTAGGGTTTAGGGTTTAGGGTTTTGGGTTTAGCATCAAGCCGAAAGATCTACACATGGGCGCACTGCGCAGGGGTTGCAGACGACTTTGCTCCAGAGCCAGCTCACACCCCACGTACATGCCATCGAATCTCACATCCCAGGTTTAGGGTTTACCCATAGGCCCCATAGTAGTTCCTTTTGGCATAACCTACTAGGATCCTAAAGACAAACCACAAAAAGGAACTACTATGGGGCCTATATGGGTAGGGTTTAGGCGAGTACCCAGCTTGTTTGACGTCGGCGGCCGCATAGGAGTGCTCCAGCAGATCCCGGCAGCGGCCCTTAGTATTCTTAGATCTCACTAACTGACCCTTATTGCAACCCCACCCTTGTAGCAGCCCTTGCAGTAACCTTCGTAGTAACCCCTTAGAGCAACCCTTACAGGAACCCTTAAGGCAACCCCTTGTAGCAACCCTTGCATTGACTCTCCTTATGGTAACCCTTACAGCAACCCTTACAGTAACCCTTATAGCAAGTCATTAAAGGTACCCCGAATCCCTAAACCCTACATCTTAAACCCTAAGCCCGAAGCCCTAAACCCAAGGCCTCAAAAACTTCCAACCCTGAACCTGCAAGGCCCCGACTTCGGGAAGTCGCGCTGGACGTTCGGGACGAGGACGTGGGCGGAGTCTGGGGGCCTTTTTACGGGTTTAGGGTTTAGGGTACTATAGAGGGAGCCATAAGGGTTTCCTATAAGGGTTACTATCAAGGGAGCTATAAGGGTTTCCTTTCAGGATTACTCGAAACGCTTGGTTTTCCATGGTTTTCTACAAAGGATGGCCTGGAAGAGATCCCTGAAAGGGATCCCCTTTGATCCCTTATGGGACCATTTCGATTACGGGGTTCTCGTGGCCTCACTTCCCCAACAAGCCACCGAAACACAAGGCAAAACTCTCCGATTACGACTAAACTAGAACCCTAAACCCTAAACCGTATAAGAGCCCCAAAAAGTTGAAAGGTTGGGTATTGGAGAACTAAGTGGCTGAGGTGTGGGCTCCGGCTCCGCGGGTTTGAGCGTCGGAGATCGCTGTGCTTTAAGTTTGGGGTTTAGGGTTTAGGACTGGGTTTAGGTTGGGTGTAGGGCTTAGGATTGGGTTCAGGGTTTTGGGTTTTGGGTTTATCTAGGGTTTAGAGTTTAGGGGTTCGTGATCTTGGAGCGTTTTAAGACAGGTTGCTGAGCCTAATGTCAGAGCCTGTTAGGATTTAGGGTATAGGGTTGCTGATCCTGACGTTTGGGGGGCCCTGAACATTACGAAAGCGCTTGTTTGTTCGTGTATATGTAGAAGAGCTTACAGGGAATACGGTTACCATCTACCAAGACCTCCATGTCATCTGCTTCGGATCCCTTGCTGCTTCGTACCGTGTATTTCGCCAGCCACCTCTGGTTTCGGAACTTCTCACTGCCTTTCTCTCGGCTCGTGTACTTCAATAGGTACAGCTCCGCACCAGCTGTGCTGTATAAAGAGCAAACATCTGCTCGGCACGTGATGCGCCACTGTTGTCTATCTGTTTCTCTTTCTTCGGCCAGGCCCGCCTGCGCAGGTCACATGTGCCTGTGCGCCTGCCGACTAGACACTGGCTGCACAATCCATGCCCACACAGACCTCGGCGCCAACTCTATTGGTTCGCGTCTGTTTGTTTCCCAATGCGGCTTGACTGACACATCTTCGCTAAGGAATCTACTTGCAACCTTAATCTGACTACCTGGACGTGAGGAGGGACATGTTTTTAGAGTAGATGAAATCCAAAACTATAACCAGAAGCCCACTGTAAAAGGGTTTTACTACTGGGAGACCTCGACACCTTATATTAAAGGCCTTCTTCCCTTTATAGACCTCCAAAACCTCAAACCCCTAACCACCAACCTCTTCAACTCTAAACTCCCAGTACAAACTGACAAAACCTTCTGAAAATCCTCCCAGGAACACTTCCTATAGCCGCCCTATACAGCACATATATACATATATACATAATACATACATATATCCCTAAACCCTAAACCCTAAACCCTAAACCCTAAAGCCTAAACCCTAAACCCTAAACCCTAAACCCTAAACCAACCTTTTCAGGGAAACAAGCCGAGAGCCCGGGCACTACTCGCAAACCAGCGAGCCGGGCCCAGGCTTAGTCGGGGAGGCCGCGGACAGGCCTCGGAGAAACAAAAAATTAGGGTTTAGGGTTTAGGGTTCAGGGTTTAGGGTTTAGGGTTTAGGGTTTAGGGTTGTGATCTGTTTGTTTAGGCTGTTGGGCGTTTATAGGGCTGTAAGGGTCTACGGGAGCTCAAAAATATGTAGAATGGAAGGGCACGAACAAACGTGCTTCGACGACTATTCTGAATTGAAGCTTTTAAGCAGTCTCTGTGCTACTTCCCATGAGTACCATGCAGTCTCGAAGCGAGCCCACACAGTACTTTCTCGTACCAGAAACCTACTACGCACCGAGAACAGTATTTTTTGTAAACGATTCATGATGCTTGCCCCTGTGTCTAGCCCAGGCCATCCGCCCTGGGCTCATGGCTCGCATCGGTGGACTTGCTCCATGGCCTTGCCGATGTCGTAACGGAAGCCATCGTAGCCCTCGATTTCAACTCCGGCGTTTTGGCTTCCTCTTAACCCCGGCCATTATCCGCCAAAACGATGCCCTTATCTTTAGACTTGAACCCCATACGAAACCCTAGACCCTGAACTCGGAATCGTGAATCCAAACATAAGTATATGAATGAAAAAGCAGAAATCATTATGAATAACTGAATAACTAACTAAATTACAAAAGCAGATAAACAATTAAAGACGACACGGTAAACGCATTTAAGTTTAGGTATGTAAATAAACAAACGTATCAATAAATAAAAATGTACACATGCACGCACACACACACACACATATACACACATGTACATATGTGTGCATGTGCGTACCTACAATATTATTTAAGCTTGTATAAAGATATCGATATATATATATATATAACTATGTGTGCGTATGCAAATATATATATATAACATAAATGCATATTATTGTCAAACATCCGTAGCCGAGCTCAGATGTGCTCACCCGGCTAAAAGTCCCGAAGCCCTACAGCCGGGTCCATGCAGGATCAGTATTCACCCAAGCATAAAGCTTTCGAACCCTCTAAGGAGCCCTTAAAGGAACCGAATAAAAGAACCCGTATGGATCCCGTCAAGAAACCTTCGGAACTAAGAACGATTGATGCTATTCATAGGTGCTTGGGCTTTTCTACCGTCCGTTCCACAAACAAACCTGCTAGGGCAAGTAGGGTTAAGGGATTGAGGCTTTGACGTTTAAAGTTTAGGGTGCTTCGACTTAGGGTAGTGGGGTTGAGATTGTGATTTCGGGTGACTGACACAGGTCTTACCCAAAAACCCCAAACCCTCAACTAGCATTAGGGTTTTTCCTTGTTAGACCAAGCGCCCTGAAGACCCTAAACCATAGGACCGTAGAGCCTCAGGGCTACGAGAGTGTCTCCTCCTGGTCCCTACATTACGTGTATCTGTATGTGTATATATATATATAACACATATATATATATGTATAACCAATATAAGGGCTCAGATGACCCAAGAGCGGGAAAGCTAGGAGCCCCAGTACCGCGTGCAATGGCCACAAGTTGGAATGCGGTACGTCATAGATTCAGCCGGAGCCTAGAGGGCAGCCAACTACCA